GCTCTTCCGTAGCATAGAAACACTCTGGATGGCTTTTCAGTGTTTCTCATCTTGGTTTGCTCTTTCTTCCCCTTCCTGAGAACTGTGGCCTTTTTTCTGGGATACCAGTAGCCACGTTGCATGGAAAGAGCGTGACCAGGCACACGTGCGTTGTGTGACCAGGCAGACGAGCTGGCCGGGAGCCCACGGCGTGAGTCAGCTGCCGCTGCCCTACCCACTGTCACCGGCTGTATACAGTCCAGCTCTTCTAACACGTGGTCCTCTAGCCTGCAGTCACACGTATGAGGGTATTTGCATACTGCTTAGGCAGCAGCGTTAAAAAGTTGAGAATCAGGGTACCTTGCAAGGGATTTGGCCTGGCTGTGCAGCTGGAACATTTATTTCCATGTGGGTCCCTAAATGCCTAAGGGTATACTCTATTTGTTAGAAAGACTTGTTATTATACATCCCTAGTGATTTCCGTGGTCCAATACCCAACAAATGAGGAACAAAAAGGCCAAGTTCCTCCCAATGAATGGCTCAGACTCAGAGAAACTGAGACGTCAGCTGAGTTAATGATGAAGGAGGACAAGAGTGCTCACTCCAGCTCACCAAAGGATGGTTTGCTTTCAGCTGGATTTTGCTGTCCCCATGGACTAGACCATCTTCAGCTCTCAGCTACTAATTTCCAGATTAAAACCAAACAAGCACTGGGGGAGGATGCTTACTGTTTAACTTTGATCAGTGACACAGTCTACAGCGTTGCTCTATGAAGCATTCATGGAGCAACCATTCAGCGCAGCAGAAGCTACAGGTGGGCAAAAGGAACAAGTGATTGGTAGAGAAAGGGTTGCTCTGCAAGCCAGCAACCTCCTTGAAGGTAATGTTTGGTGGAAAGCTATCTCCAGTGACACTTCAGCCTTTGCATATGCAAATTTTCATGACCTAAGAAAAAAGAGTTAATTTCTACAAGTGATTAGTAAAGTATTCATAATTCTTGTCTGTATTTCAGTGTATTAAAGAGCCATCCTACAGCATATGGACTGCTTAGATGTAAAGATGCACTGTTAAGATGGTAGCAATTTTTGACATACTGACCTGGCCAGTAGTACATAGAAACGTTCTTTTTTTCTTTCATCATTGTGACCCACAAAGGCTCTGATCCATTCCACCAGAGAGGCAGCAGGCTTTCTTTAGTCACACCAATATCAAAAGATACGTTTCTCTTTTGGTCCCACATGTAGTTTCCAATCATCTGGTGGACCTCACAGTGGCGACCTTCAGAGGTGGAGAAAAAAAAGAGGACAATATCAGATTCGTGTTCTCCAGCAGAAGGATGCCAACAGCACCACCACTGCTACCACCAGCTCATCCAGAAAATCAGCTGTAAAGCTCAGATTTGAACTCAAGGACCTCTCACCTTGCAACTGCTCATACTGTCTTGACTCTGTCACCTTTTATTGAGGTCCTCCAGGTAGCAGTTTCAGTTTATATCCCCTAATTCAGCTACCTAAAAGTTAGTTGCTGAAGCTTAGGTCGGCCACCTGTGTTCCCTTCACAGTCAATGGAGAAGAAGAGGCACCTCTAGAAAGCAATTCATGACATCCTAAGATAGACATCTAAGGTATCTGGGAGGAGTTATCCTTTGGAGGTGCCTATTGCTTTCTATTAATTGTAGAGAAAGACCACATCGTTAGCTTAGCTTGAGACAGCCAACTTTTAGACAGCTGAGGCCAGAAGAAACAAATCCTGCACCCCGTGGCCAGCCTAACATGCCATACCCCGTCCATGCACACAAACCACGGCAGTGCCAGCCCACACAGGCACCACATGTTTGGCTGACGTCTGGCTCCTTCTACGCACGCAACATCTGCCAAGTCTGAGGTCATTTTAAGGTACCCGCCAGCACACAGGCCCATGGGGCTGCGGGAAGCAGTCTGTGAACGGCAAGGGGTAAGAGCATGATCTGGAAACATAGAATAAAGTTTGGGAAACTCACATTTCCCCTCTCCTTTATCTGTAGGGCACCTTGTTTTTCCGCAAACAAGCAAAAACTACACTAAAGCCTTTATATATTACTTTGATTTTCCGTTATTGTTAGCTTTTTTTTTTTTTTAAATGAACACATTTTACTCTTGGTTGTGGGGACAGTAATCATTTAATCAGATATTTTCGGCCCCCTTACTGCACCTTGGGGTTCCTTGGGCAACTTTATATTACAAGAAACTAGTATGTAAGAGCTGAGAGATGTCTTCTACTTCTTGACATTGTCAGAAGAGAAGCTACTGTATTTTAAGAGTTAACCTGCAGGTGAATTAAGAAAACTGGGAAAAGAAACGTAGATTAAGTTGTACTGGGAGTTCATGATTTCCATGTCTTAAAAAGCAACAACTGATGAATGTGAGAGACACTGTCATCATTAGCTGGTGAGTCACGATATTGCAAGGATCCAGATAACAGGCTTTGATTGCTGCGAGGCTGAGCATGGCTATCAGAACTGAAATAACCTTGGTATGCTTGTTTTAAAAAGGCATCATTTTGAGCAGAGGACTCTGTATACTTTTGGGTACATGTGACCTTGAAATGGATTTTGAATTCTTCTTCCCTACTACAAAGTATTTCAACTATGCAAAACATTTCCTCCTCCCCAGCGGAGAAAAGCAGTCCCAATTTGTGTCAGTCACTATTCACCATATTAAACCAAACAGGTTTACTATAGGAAAACTGGTGGATTGGATGGGCAGTAATCTGTCCTCCTAGACAGACCAAGAGCTTGCTTTGCTGTTAAGTCTCAAAATAGCTAGTAGGAAACCTCTATAGTACATCAAAAACGCAGCCTTCCTACTTGGAGGACAACCCTATCTCTTCAGCTTCTTAAAGTCCATGTACTCCTGAGCATGTATCAACCTGCTAAACTGCGGGCAGGTAATTGGTGACAGCCTGGGAAACCTGCAGGTCAGGGCTGAAGCTGTTAGGTCACGTATTTGTATGATGTATATTGTAGTCTTCATACAGAAACAATGAGCTCTAGCTGCTACTGATGTGAGGTCCCTATAGGATTTAAGGTCTGCTGTCATTTTGCCCACGTCTTTAAGGAACAGAATGGAGATTGTTCTTTGTAGTGTTGTTGGGAAGTTTAATTAACTGTGTGCATGAATACCGAGGACAATATTCTTCTGATCTCCACATCAGACAAGTTCATTCTTCTATGGACTCCAACTCCGGGGTTTTTTGTATTGAAAAAGAGGCCTAGAAGACTATAAGGCATCAATTTTCATTGCAGACATCCCTGATTCACAGGGCCAGAAGGGAACATCAGATGAGCAGACAGACCAAAAGACATAACCATTTAATGCTTCCTGGAGACATTCACATCTGCTTGCCTCAAGCCTGTGTCCCAGAAGGACCCTGGACCTCCTTGGAAGACATCAATAACCAACTAATCAATCTCTTCCTTGAATTGCTCATCCCAATATTTATCATCAGTAAATGCTGTTCAAAAAGTATGTCTGATCTCTAATTTTATTTTTGACCTTTGTTAATCTTCAACCAAGGCTATTCTGTGCCTTGCTCACTAGATTAAAAAGCCCTGCAACAGCTGGCATTTCTGCTACCCTCCCCGCCCCAAGACACTCGTACACAGAATTAAGGTCACCTGTGAAATTTCTTTTAGGTCACCTGTACAACCCCAGTTCTTTACATCCCCTGCTGTAACTTACTTTCTCCACCTTGAGAAAATGACCTTTGGTCACCTCCTTTTTAATGATTATCAAAACAGCAACATGGTGTGAGACAGTCACCGTAGCACACTGAAATTATTAATCGCTTCCATTACTGCACCTTTCCTCTGTAATCAAATGCTACCTTGAGAGTTTCAAAAGTAGAAACAGGGCAAAAAGCAGTTTCAGCATACAGATGTCATTATTTAAACTCACTGCAACTGTAGTAAAAAGCACCCCTTCCTCAAGAAACAGAGGAAAACAAAGAGGGTATAGTTCCCAGGCATATGATAACTGCTGTATGCTTTTGGAAGAGAGCCAGCAAAAGCATTTGCAAGTCTGCGTGCTACAGCTTACTTGGACACTACACTTCTTACAGCATTGGCTTTGTCTAAAGCACATTCCCATGTCTCCAGGCACTTTTGTCAGCATTCAAATGAATCTGTGCAAAACAAAGATGAAATTAAAAAAAAAAAAAACCAACAGAAAAACAAACAACAAACCATCAGCCACTTGGCCACCCACAACAAAAGCACAGTAACGCTGAATGCTGTGCACCCTACATTGACCACATGGGAGATCTGGAAACCAGAGCACGTGCTCCCGTAGCATTTGCTACAGGAACGACCTCTTCTTTCTTTGGTGGTCTTTCACTGACTGCAGGGACAGCACACAGGATCACCAGTAGGCATGATATATACAGGGGCCACCTGTGTCTAAATCTACAAGAGAAAATGCTCTTCTGAGACACCCAATGATCTTTTTTTTTAAAAGAAAGGCAGCGTGTGGCAGATGCGCAATGCTATACCTGGTGCATCGGGCAACAAACCAGAAGTTTCCTCCCATGTCCTGCCATGATGTCCTCACTCCCCAGGAAGTGACAAGAGCCAGGAGGGCAGATGCAAGCACAGGCTGCCGTGGGACTATATAGGCTGGGGAAAAGTTAAGTTCCTCCACACAAACAGCTGCACACACATGATGTAGGTAGGTTTTAACAGCCCAAGTGAGACTTGCAGTTCCCTTTCTCCCCTTCCTTCCCCACAATTTCTTTCCTCTGCTATTCCCTTGCTTGGAGTCATCTAAATGCTGACCCAGACCTGCCCATTTATCAGCTCCTCACCTCACTTCCAACCCCGCTGGAGACCTGCTGGATGACTTGCCCTAGGAAATGCTCTGCTCATGCTGCCTGCCATGAGGAGGAAGACAGCAGGACTTTAAAGTCATCAGCACCATATTCCTGCTCAAGACCAAATATCATGGTGTTGCTGCCCCAAGGCAGTGAGAAGAGCACCCTGAAGGGCTCAGCTCTGCCCATTTCAATATATGCCCTCCTCTGCTCCTCCCCTGCTGGGTCTTTTTAAAAGAAAGACCTCAGGGAAAAAACAAAATCCGTGTGCTAAACCTTAAGTGGCCTGGAGAAGACCAGGGCTCATGAGAAGTCAGGTGGAGAGCTCTGGTCCGGGCAAAGTGGCCCTACCATCTGCAGGCCCCCAAGCGAAAACATTACCTGCAAGATGTGCACGGACAATTTATGTTCCCAGAAGAGCTTGCTGGCAAAGGCTTTCCAATTTTTATGACCTCAAATACCAGACAGATCCAAAGCAGAAACACCTCAGCCTATGTCAGGCAAGACTTTGCAATCCAAGTAGGATCACATCAAAAGGCACAGAAAATTCTCTGCTATACACAGCACTATTTTTTTCCCTAGGGGGAAATTAATTTAATTTCCCATGTAATAAGAGTGTGAAACTCTTAATTCCATGCTTTTATAATGGGGTTAGGGCTGGGGTGCACAAAAATTGCTTCCAAAGCATCCAGCTTAGGCTTTGGATGCTTGCTTGCGCGGGAAGGCAGGTCTTGCGCCCCTGGGGAGCAGGTGCTCCCAGCTGCCGCTTGGTCTCCTGAGCTGTGTGACAGCGGTGGGCTGGGGGACCGTGCTGGGACCCCCGACCACTGCTGGGTATGGCTGGAGGGCACTGCAGCTCCAAGCACTATAGAGGGACCGAGCAAAATGATGTGCAAAGCTGCTGCCTGCATCAGTAGAGAGGGTACAAGCCTCTGGCAGTTTTCTGTTCGTCAGCTGTGACGACAGCTCCGGGCACAAAAACACCTCGATACGTGAATGTCCACTTACTGCTGCTGACAGCTGCTGGCAAGTATACTAGTTGTGAGCTGTGAGGTTGTAGCTGGTAAGAAGGAAAAAACTCTGTGCTTCAATTCGCAGCATGTGAACTCGCGTTAGAGAAAACTTTCTGTTCTCCGCTTTGAAAGTGTTTCCATTTTTTTAACTGGTAGAAAGCAAACACAGATTTTTACAACATTTTGTGTATGCGTGAAAGAGAAAAATCTTGGCACTTGGCATTGCAGCCTTCCTGCAGGCGGTGAGAAAACAAAGCAAGATGAAGAATGTGGAGTTAAAAAACCCTCCCGGTTCCCACTCCAGCCTGTCCTTGCTAGGATAGTACCCCTTCCCTGCCAGTATTACCACAGACTTCTTCGTGCTCTTTTGCTTCCCAGCACACAGTTTTAGAAATGGGAACCTACTGAATCCAGGAAAAA